AGCAATTTTAAAAACCACATATGTTGAAAAAATCACATAAAAAAAAGAAACGCAGACACTTCAGCATACAAATGAACTGATGTGTCATTTCATAAAGGAGTAGCACAACATTTTGGGAAAATGCCGAGAGTTAGATGAGAAGATTGATACCACTGTCACATTTGTATTGTAAAGGTTACTAGCAGCCGGTTAGGTTAGCTTAGCATAAAGACTGGAAACAGAGGGAATCAGGTAGCCTGGCTCTTTCCAGAGGTAACTAAGTCGGTCAACCAGCATCTCTAAAGGTTGCTAAGTAACACCTTATATTGTTTGTTTAATCTGTACACAAACAGAAGGACAGTTTCTGTTTTTTGAGGAAGAAGAAATGTTGTTTGGGTTGCTTTGTCCGTCTTTTTTTTGTCATTTAGGGTAAACAGTTAAAGAACAGCCTGCCAAAAATAATTGAATTTGTAGTTAATTAGTTTTACCTCTAGAAATGATGCTATTTCCCTTTAAAACATGCGATTGGTGTTATTTTGCTGCTTTAAAGTCATCTTCTCTTTCCTACGTTTACTGTGTCTCCCTGTTGGAGCAGCCTTGAGAAGCGAATGTGTGTGTGTGTGTGTGTGTGTGTGTGTGTGTGTGTGTGTGTGTGTGTGTGTGTGTGTGTGTGTGTACAGTAGAAAACAGTGAGATTACACAGTGGTTACACAATAACTTGGTCCATGCTGAGCTCAGGTGTTAATGTAACTGGGCTCAGATGTGTCCAAACCAATCCCCCAAACACACACACATATATATACTCTCACTCTCTCCTGTTTGCTCTCCTTACATGTACTCAAAGCTTTACATTGTGTTACATAAAACAGCCCCACTAAACCTGACCCCCATCTCCAGCCCTCTCTTCCCTTCCCCTCCATCGCTCTTGCGTTCGGATTTTGCCCTTTTCATGCTCACTGCTCCCCTTACACCGCAGCACAACATGGCTGGAGTGCTGCTGCTGCTGCTGAGAGTGAGAGGACCTCGGGCTAAAGAGCAGCAAAACAAATTCACTCTTACATAACAGGCTCTGCTGCTGAATTACACACTGGATAGGACAGGCCAGCTAGCAGAAATTAAAAGGAAGAAAGCCGAGGTTACAGCTAAAATGTCTGTGTGGCTCGAGTGTAAAAACCTTAAAATGATTCATGATTTTCACCGATTTATGAGGATCTATTGGGACTTGTGCACTATACTAAACTAAAATAATGGACATAGTGAACATTATATCTTATAGCTCCTTAATTTTAGCATGCTGGTGTTAGCATTTAGCTCACAGAGATGCTAGCGTGGCTGTAGACTCTTCTTCTTCCTGTTCTGGAAGAGCTTCTTATGCAACAGAGAGTACAATGCTAACTAGTACACATCTAAACACTATAAAAGATCAAATGAAACTAGGAATCAAACCAAGACATGATTCCAAAACTCTATTAGATTCAAGGAGCATAATGTACAACTCGTCCATTGGCAGCCTGCGATTCAACATCTCCTAGAGGGGCCTGAAAACCCTCTTATCATAATACCAATTATCTTCTCCTTGAAGACACAAATCTAAAATCCTATCTGTCGCGCAGATGTGGCCACAGGGAGCCCGGAATGATTTGCATGTAACAAGTGATTTTCGATGTCAGAATAGCTTTGGGGACTTGAGAGAAATTGCCAGCAGTCCTCCGCCATGCCTGTATCTCCTCTCTGCAGACAGCCAGCTACACCATTCAGACTCTGAATAGACATGGACGGAGTAAATGAAAAGAAAGCATGATGCGTTTTCTGAGGTGGCTTGCATGCCGAGCCCTTACAGACAAAAGATGAGATCATCTGGATAAGGCTGTCAGAACCATTTGATTGTCTCCAGGCTGACTATAAATCACACAGCATTTTCCAGTTATATCATACAGTATTTTCATCTAATTACTGCCGAAGATTTACTATTTTCTTTTCAGCTTGTGGCCTCCATAAGCAAAGGTCATACCTGAAATGTCAGACACTGATCTTTAAAAATAAATGGTCACTTTTCTCTTTTCTGAAAAATGTACATGATTCATTACTATAGAGGCCTGACATTTGGTAATTAATACAAAGAGGACATTATATTAGTACTGCAAAAGGCAGAATGTAGTTATTCTGGAAATCTGGACTTTATACTTCATCAGTTTTGAAACCACAAGTCTATAAATTAATTAGTTCATCAACTAAAGAGTCTTTTGACAACACCTTTAATGATCAATTGGGTCCTTTATTCAGCAAAAATGCCAAAGATTAGCTGGTTAGCTTCTCAAATCAAAAGATGTACTGCTTTTCCTCAGCTGCTACTGCTCATTTAATTTCAAATTGAAAAAAAACAAGCAATTTTAAAATGTCACTGAAAATTTTCATTAGCATTTTATAGGCTCAACAAGTATAGTCAAAAATTTAAAGCAAGATTAAGTCTGTGCCAATGGAATAGATTCATATTTTGGGAAATATAGTTACTTTATTTCCTTATTTAGATGAGATCCACTCTCATGTCTACACGCTAAACTGAGCCGGAAACAGCCGGAAGCACAATGCTACTCCACCGCCGCCTGGCTCTGTCTTGAGCTTAGAAATCCATCTAAAAGCACCTGTAAAGCTTATTAAATAACACTTTGTTTTATGTTTCCAGCCTCCCTTCCTCTAGCTCCATACTTATAGTTAGACATGCTGAGCGAAATGCTTATACGCTTTGTAGCGGAGAGGTAAATGAGAAGAGCGATACAATAATATCTGCACAATAAATATGAGGCTACAGCTTAGCACAAAGACTGGAAACAGGAGGAAACTGCTAGCCTGTTGGAAAGTAACGAAATGAGCGCAGATAAACTGTAAAGAAATGTCCTTCTTTGTCATCATCTTCAGGGTTTTGTTATATCTGTTAACTATTAGCATGTCACCGCAAACCTGCATGGTCCGGTGCAATTTGACCCGACTCCAGAGATGGTCGATCTCGGACGCTACTCACAACTCGGCGTGTATCTACTGGTAATCAATACGTTTACATTACTGTCAATGGAAAAGCCATATTAACAGCTCTGTGAGGCTGTACTGAGACACAGATGTGCACTAAGCTAAACATCAGCATGCTCACATGCACACAATGACAACGCATAGACAAACATTTTGACCTAAAACATTGAAGGATCTTTAAAGTTAAAACAATTCATCCTCTATAAATAGGACTATAAATGTCAGTGTCAGTTTTCATGGCAATCCATCCAGTAGTTGTTGATGAATGTGGTTAAACAACACTGCTATTCAGTAAAAAGTACAAAAGAGAAATGGGTATTTAAACCTTAAATAACATCCACTCATTATTGCCACACTTGCACTTTTAATTATATGTGTTACCTTGGGAACACAGGGTCGATAAAGGAGGGAAGGAGCGAGAAAACATATCTATCATTAGATTACAAAAAAAATTGTGACTCAGCCAAAGATGAAGAGAAGGGGGGTTGGAAGGTTTTTCAAGCAGCAAATGTTGGTATTAAAATCTGGCAGACATAAACGCATCACAGTGTGACATTCGCAGAGCACCGAGCACTGCTAGTGCTGCTTCCCAGTGCCAGAGTGATTGTGTCGAGGTTCTTGGAGAGCTCGAGGGAATCTGGGAAGCCGCCATCAAACCAGAACTGTGTCACAGGAGAGGTGGAGTAATAAATTGTCAAGATTATTACAGGGAGTTCCTCCAGAGTGTATAACAGCTTCGGTTCAGGGGGCTTCTGGAGGAAGAGGAAGTGAACTTGTCTTTCATCGTATATATCAACCCTGCAGTGTGTGTGTGTGTGTGTGTGTGTGTGTGTGTGTGTGTGTGTGTGTGTGTGTGTGTGTCCCTGAATGTATAATGACATCTCTCTATATTTGAGAGCCCTGCACAGCGTAACAGGCTTTGACTTGGCGTTCCCTCCCCTGTATTCAGAGTGCAAGACTCTGAATCTTTCATGACCCTTTCTATGAGGAATTTTCTTTTCAAGGCTGCTCTTACATACAGTGCATACAGTAGTGCATTAGCGCTAATAGGAAATGGACCTTCGACAGCAAACATGCATTTAATTAGTTGATCCACAGAAAATGAATCGTTTAATTCATTTTTAAGCATAAATGACCAAACAATGAACAGTTGCAGTGTCTTCGATGTGAAGATTTGCTGGTTTTCTCTGTTTTATATATAATAAACTGAATATATTTTGGGTTTTAGACTGTTCACTGTTCAGTCAAGCAGATTATTGGCAGATTTATCAATAATTAAAACAATGGTTAGTTTTGCCATTGAGGAGAATAATAGCTGACAAATGAGCAATAAGGCAATTAAAGGGGATGTCCACAGATTTTACACATTAAAGCCTGTTTATAGGTGTTAGTAGGGGAGTACTTTCTCGACTTATTTTTTTGGCTGAATGGGGAGCTGCGTGAAATCTGATAAATTGCCTCAAATGATGTCACTTGAGTCAGCATCAGCTGGGGCTGAAGACTTTGAAGCTGAGTTTGAAATTGAAAAGAAACCTGCGGGTGTGGAGTTTGAAAGAAATGAGGTTACCCGACCCCTGTAGCCCGCTCTTCGCCTCGGCTCGAGGCTACGGTAGCTGCTACTAGCATAATACACCAGAATCTCAGACTGAACTGCCGGCGGTGGCGCTAGGTTTTGACTGGGAAGAAGAATACTCGCAATAAGAAAGAAGATAACGCTGATTCTGCTGCATCAATATCAATAATCTTTACCTATCCATCATGAGTCCGACAGCGTCACACGAGTGCAAAGCTTAACCGGTTGAGTTCTCTTTTAAATATGACTTTACCACCTTGTGCCATCTCTCTCACATGTTGTCAAACATGCTCCTGGATACCATACAATCTTGACACCTACTCCCACTCAAACTCAACCTTTAACAACTGCCAAGCACCTGGCAACACACACAACAGCCTCTCAACAGGTCAAGTGAATTATGAACTGTCTCAAGTCCACTCACCAAGTCTTTGGATGTGCCCAGTCTCTTCAGCCCATCCAGGGGCAGGAGGTCAGCTGAGTCCTTGTGTGTGAACTGGGTGTTCTGCTTCAGACGCCTCTGCTGGTGCAGGATGGCTTTATCCCGGATGGCTAGCTCACCTTTCTTCGCCTCACTCATGGTCTCGGACTACAAGCAGCAGTCTTTTCTGGTGCTGTGCACAGAAGCACGGAGACTGTAACCTCGCAGCAGCAGCAGCGGTGGGAGCTCTCTGCAGACGGCAAGAGACAGAGTGGATGTCTGCGTGCAAAGAGAGGGAGAAACCCCAAAAGGCAGCTGTTTAAGGATGGATGTTTAAGTCCAACAGAATAAACCTGCAATTGCTGCCTCTTCCACCTTGTGCTGCCCTCTCTGAAATGCTGCTGTCCTTCCCTCTGGGCTTTCTGTGCTCTCTCTCTCTCTCTCTCTCTCTCTCTCTCTCTCTCTCTCTCTCTCTCTCTCTTTGTGTGTTTGTAGTCCCTGGCATGTATCTGTCTCTGCAGCTTTGGGAGCTATTGTCCTGTTCTGGATGCTCCTCTGATGTAGACATGCATCTTCCTCACAATGTCAAGATCTGTTCTGTCTCATACAGAGGCTGTGTGAGGCTGTGGGGTAGGTGTGACAGAGAGAGTGTGTGTTTTCCCTTCCCCTCAGTGCCGTCTGTCCTTGGATCTCTCTCTCTCTCTCTCTCTCTCTGTTACACTCTATCTCTGCTTTCAGGAGTCTGTTCTCTCCCTCTATCCTCTGAACCCTCCTCTTTCCGTCACACACTCGACACAGACGCATGCTTGACCCCCCCCAAAACAGACCACATTTTCTCACTTGACTCGCGCCAAAGGAAACGCAAAGAAAAAGACTCTTTATGCTGAATATCGAACATATGGACGCCACAAAAAACACTCTCAGTCATGCGGCTACAATATAACATCACATTCTCTGCATGAAATAGTCTTAAAAGTGATGAACACACACAGTATGTCACTCTGTATCTTGTTTCTAAGCAAGCAACACAGTTTGCGGTATTAGTCCCTTGAGCAGTGATTGGCCCCTCGCTGTGGAGGTGTGAGAGAGATCACTGATCTGACCCCGCACAGAGGATCAATCCGGACCACTGATGGCAACAATTGATTTCCCCATGCCTCCCCTGTGGCGGCCGCCGTGAATTAAAGAACCCAATTTCCTCCATCCGTCCATCTGTCCACACCAACAAAAGCTAAAAATATCACATTCATTCCATGTCCATGACCTCTAGATGATGACACATTTATATAGCAGTGACGATTCAGCCTCACAGGTATGGAAGGTTTCATGTGATACAATAAATGAGTCATTTTCAGATCTTTTATAGCATTCAAGTGTTTTGTTTTGTTTTTCAGAAAATGCATTAATATCAAAGGAAAGAGCTAAAATGGAAGATTTTTTTTTTATAAATATACACAGTTTATTTGATGGAGGTCCTTGTGAAGGTGAGGTGGAAAATACTGTATGCATGCTGAAATAAGCATGTGCTGCCCCCTGCTGGTCGTCTCTTTTCTGGTCTTTACCCTGAGATGCATCAGTATTCAAATTCTGTCACAAATGCTGAATTCAGACTGCATTTTATAGCCAGAGAGGGACACAGAGACACATAAGAGACATGATTTCACAGCAGACATAGATATATATCAGTGATGATGATGAATCTGTCTTGGAAAATATTCACTAACATGCCGCTGACTACACTATAATTATACCTCAAAGAGAAATATATTACGCCATATTTTTTATTTTTTTTGCTTGGAATCGAATACTTTTTTAAAGTTTAAATACTACCTGTGGTATACTACCTTGCACATGTGCAGTGAGTACATATCATAACACTTTGGTCTAGAGTGAAACCATAGCTGATCTTACAGTTGCCAATTCATTATCGTGGCCTGTAGTGAATAAAACGCTTTCACTGGGTGGAAATTTCTCCTTTATTTTTATAACATCACAGTACAGTGTAAGTTCTGCCTTCCAGCTGTGAAAATGGCCTATCGGCTTACTGCCTTAATTTGCTTGATGAAAAGCACTGTTCTTTTAAAAATACATTGAACAGAGAACACACTGAATTGTAATTTTGTCTTATAGTAAAAGTCATCTTATTTTTTTTCTCTTGTCTTTATTTGGATATTTGGTGTTGAGGTAATCCAAAAGTAATGGAAACCCAACCCTTCCAACCCTATTTCTGAGATATTTCTTCATGCAAAATTGTCGAATATTTGGGGTTTTAGACTGTCATGTTCTCCATTGTGATGAGCATTTTGTATTGTATTTCTCTGACTTTTTTTTTTTAACTTAAATTAGTGTTATAATGTTAGCTTTGATGATTTCTGTTGACTTAGTTCAGAATTTTAATCTGCAGTTATCTGAATGTGAGCTCACTGTGAACACTTTGTAATTTGAACTACTCTCCACTGAAGAGAGTCTCTCAAGGCAGAAACCGCATTGACGGATGTCTGAAAACCTTGAAAATGTAAAAGCCCTTCACACCCACCCAGTTTTTACCCCTTCTACTCTGTCTGATTACAACTCTGCTCATGTTGATGTTTTTTTATGGAGGACATATTGATGTGTCACAATAGCAAAAGCACAGATGTAAATAATAAATCAATTCCATTCAGCAGTGGTAAAATGTAACTACATATTTGAGGTATTTGTACTTGAATATTTTGTTTTCATGCCACTCTATACTTTTACTCCACTACAATTCAGAGACTTGTAATGGAGTATTTTTACAGCATGGTTTTAGTATTTCAGTAAAGGATCTGAATGCTTCCTCTACCACTGTCGTTTAGCTGGTTCAGTTTCACTCGGCTCGCTGTCACACTGTCTAGTCTTACTCAGAGTCGTCAAAACTCCTAATGAGGATAATGTGTCTGTGACTTGTCCCGCCCCAGACAGTGAGAGAGATGTCTCTCAAACTCTCTAAAAGGGGGAATAATTAGCCAAATTAAGTAAATGGTAAATGGTAAATGGTAAATGGACCTGTACTTGTATAGCTCCTTTCTAGTCTTCCGACCACTCAAAGCGCTTTTACACTACATGGCACATTCAGTGAAAACACCTGTTTGTGTGTGAATCATGGCTGCAAGGTTTTAAACTGGAATCTGCATGGATAGACACCACTATGGGTAAGTTACAAAATATGTTGTTGTTTGTGTTTGTAAATCAAAACCTAATTGTTATATTCAGAATATTTAAAGCCCCTACAAGGAACTTTTTGTGTTGATTCTAGTGCCCCCTGTGGCCAAAAGCGGTAGTGTTTCTACAACTTTGTGTCATGGATTTAAAGGGGATAGGGATGACAATTTCTAAGATTTATCAATATCAATTCTGCTTTTCCGTCTGACTCTTTGTCATTTCTCTTACTGATTCCTGATTAGTTTTCTGTGTGGAAAAAAAACAGGCCTAAACTGGTTTTTAGCGTCAACGCAACTGTTTTATTATCTCTGAGTCCGAGCACAGTGTATAAAAAGAGTAGAGTTTCTCAGTATGTTAATGAAACCACACTTTAGACCGTTTCTTCCTTCTTCCATGACTACTCCTTGTTCCGGCAGAGCAGACACAAGTTTGACATAACTGTCACATGCTGACATTGATAAAAGTAACTGATGGCATTCAGTTAAGATTGATTGGATCATTTGGAACCGATTCTCAATTCCCATCGCTACGAGGGGAAACCCCACCCGGTGGCAGGCATTAAGAATAACTACACAGAAATAGCCAATCTTCTTTCTGATGGTCTTGTTAGAAACTCCTTGTAGTATGTTTAACTAACAGTATTATTTATTGATGTATTCAGTTAACTATTTAGTATATTTTCGTCAGTTCGTGTGTCCCGTACACACAAAAGGAACCTACAGAATTTCTTCTCCCCAACCTCTATTATGGGAGCACAGGACAACTAACCAAAGCATTTCTCAACTCCTAATGGGGGCATCATTATGCGCAGATTTAGCCTGACTCCCTGGGGGTCTGAGGAACACAAATGCAGATTAGTTGGGGTTTTTTGTGCCAAGGATTCCTGGGAAGGAATGGAGCATGGTGACCTACAGAGTAAAGACTTACTCTAGGGTTGTGGAAGATATTGTGGGAAGATGTCACATCACAGATTATGTGTTACGATCAGCCTGTCTCTCGGTTGTTTTGGGCATTTTGAATGAAAAAAAGAGCAAACCGTAAGTGAATATGGAAAAAATTACACAGGTGAAATAAGCAAAACGAACCCCTGAACATCATCTTTATTACCATGACCTAAATGTCTAAACCCTCAAACAAATAATGAATGCAAAGAGAGTCTGAAATCCACCAAATTAAACATTTTAAGTGCTGCATTTACACAAAACCTCGGAAATAAATTTTGCTTTGAGGCTCATTTCTCATGTCGGCATATCCCAATTATTTAATCAAGGAACTAAAAAGTAACTTAATGGTAACAAAATCTGCGTTAGCAGAAGAAAATAAATAAAACACAGCAGTTTTGGTCAGTTGCTGGCAATGTAACAAAGTCTTGCATTTTGTGCTTTTTTTTTATTTTAAGTTCTTATTAACTGAGGTTGCAGAAGGCACATGTGCATCGTTCAGTTCATGGAATTGCGCTTTAAGCTTTGCTTAGTGTATCTCTGGAAAATAAGACTGTGCAAGTGTGCATACGACACGTTAAGCTCCATCTGAGCCACTTCTCATCCCAAACAACAGCTTTCAAGGGACCTTTAATTCCCATAAAACTGGCAGTGTAAAACCAAAGCCATTTTTTATGATTATCCGCTATGTACAGTACATATAGACAAGAAATGCATTTTAAGGTTTGTAGTGAATTATGGATAAACATGTATGCCAATGCCATATTTGGAGTGTAAACATCAATAATATTCTGACCCATAGATTTAAAAGCATGCTGTTATGTAGCCCCAGCTTGTGCCTCTCATGTATTAGTATAACATTCACCAATGGTAACCATCTGTTCCTCCATAATTACTGCTGCTGGATCCTAAAACACGGGATGGAGAAATATTCTATCTGCTGCACATTAAAAGAAAACTTTGCTGTTTTACAATTAAATATTGGCTGGAATAAAAAGTGAGTGTTCTGTTTCCCACTCAAATCCACTGTTTGTTTTTTTTCCCATTTACACAGCCATGAGAAGATATAAGACGTGTACTGGATTAGAATCGCCGACCCCCACCTTTAAGAGAGTCTTTGAGGATCCTTTATACCTTCAGAACAGCAGTAAGTGTTGTGTAACAACCTTCTGGGTTTTTCAAACTGTCTGGATAATTATCGCTAATGGAACTTTAACGTAACTAAATGTAAATACATGAGAGGCACAAACTGTGGCTAGCTGCTATGATGCTGTTGACCTACGGGCCATGGCGCTTCATCACTTTCATAATTGTCACTGTAGCTTTTGTATTTGCATCCACAGCAGTATGTACAATGTAGTGCGTTTTTTTTGTTTTTGAGGCACAGAGGTCACGAGGCATTCAACCTGGCAACCGAACACTGTTTCCACTAATGCCGCAGAGCCCCATTCAGTGCAACAACAAGCAAAGCCACACACTGGCCTATATTAATGCTGCATAGGCTCCACTATCTGTTAGTGTTCACTGAACCATCGGCCCATGGCACGTTGGGGAGGTAAAGCGAACAGAGCAGCATGTTCTGTCCCAGAGCCGGGAAGCGTCTGAAGGCCTCCCAGGCGTCGGAGAAGATGTTGTACTTGAGAAAGACGCGGTGCTCCAGGCTGGTGGGCAGGCTGACATCCCGGCTCATGATGTAGATGCCGTCGTTGTGCAGCGTGCATGTGAGGTTCAGGCCCGACTTGGACGTGTTCTCCTTCAGCTGGATCCACTCCCCCGTAGTCACGTTGTAGGACTGCACAGTCAGCACGTCCTCGGTCTGGCTGGCACGCCGCCGGCCCACCTCCAGCTCATGGGTGTAGCCACCCACCAGGTAGATGGTGTCCTCCACCGAGAGCATCTGCTGCTTGCGGATGTGCGCCGAGCATGACCGAAATACTGTCCAGGTGTCAGAGGTGGGACAGTAGCGGAGGACACTCGTGTTCCTGTCTGTGAGACGCAGAAAGAAAAACATTTAAACTCAAAGAAGAAGAAAGAACTTGTTTCTTTCTCACTAACATGAAGCCGCACCAAGGGTGTAGGTTTGATTTCAGAATGTGTGGGTGTATAATCAAATGAGACATATCTCAACCAAAAAACTAAATATAAATGGGATTTCCAGAACATATATACATTTATATCAAACATTGAGCTCAGCAAAGTGCTCAGTCTACTGGGAATGACCGAGGGTATGAAAACAAAAGCCAACAGGAGCCACTGAGGCAGCGAAAAGATCCCTCTAGATGGCTGTGGATCAAACACAGCGAGCCGTGGAGTTTAAGTGCTACTGGGACACAAGCCAGGCCTTGATCAAGGGCGGCTGTGCCTCAGAGGTAGAGATCTGCGGTTTGATCCCTGGCTCCCCCCCGGTCCGCATGTCGAAGTGTCCTTGGGCAAGATACTGAACCAAACTGCTCCCGAAAGCTGTGCCACTGGTGTGTGAGGGTGTATGAATCAGCATTAGTTACTTTCTGCTGAGCAGGTGGAAACTCGCATGGCAGCCTCTGCCACCAGTGTGTGAATGGATGAATGTGACCGGAAAGCACCTTGAGTGGTTGGAAGACTAGAAAGGTGCACACCCATTTACCATTCCACCAACCTTGCTGATGTGTGTCTGATGTTGAAAGACAACAAAACATCCAGTTACATCACCGATTATGTGTTCCAGTGCATACCAAGATGTATGTTACAAGCAATATGAAATTTTAAATGATTCACTAAACCTACTTAAAATCACACTACAAACAAAGCACTGTCTTGTACACAGACTTCCTGTCAGTTTGTGTACAATAACCTCCATCAATAGATAGAACCGGTATACAACGGCCTGTAAGACAAAATCCAGGGCATTAAAACTCCACCACATTGCTGCCATTAAAGCTGATTACTGCGAGCATACTGTAACAACCGAAGCAAACTCTGATGAGTGCTTCAACATTTTTATCAAGTCAGAGTTTCCCTCAGCTGGAGTTTGTTTTGAGAGATCTTACTGAGGAAATCAAACAAAAACTGTCCAAGTAGGGGGGGGGTGGACAGAAAATATGTCTCCCTGTCCTCAGTGGAAAATACGCCCTTGGGCGGCAATAACTACTGTAACATCCTGAGCGCCCACCAAGGCCCTTATAATTGCAGTTATGCAAGTAATAATACACAACACGGTGTTCTGATTATTAAAATGACAGAGACAAAGCACACCTCGGTACAAAGCAGTGATGGTATTAGTTTCTGTGTTATTGACTGGTACAGCTGTGATCTAACCACTAATAATACAAAGTTTATAGGATTATAAAAGGAGGATGAGACACTCTTCCATCAGCGGGTCTCCGTTAGGGAACAACCTCTGCATACGAATCTACTGAAACAACTGGAAAAGACTTATAGTGTCTCTTTTGTGTTATTCTATTTATGTTTTTCTTACAAGACAGATTTTGTGCCTCAGTGTGGACATTAAAAAGTGATTATTCCTCCTCAGATTGTTTGACTGTAGTGGCCCCAAGCATATGTGCAGTGTTTCAGAAGAAATATACAAAAACTCGAGAAAGGTCAGGAAACAGATTGACCTAATTTGGTATCCCTTTAATCATCTTGTGACCCCTCAATGCATCACGTTTAATGTGAGAAACAGAACAAAAAGAGCTGCCATGCTCATCAGGAGCAGACTGGGGTTCAGTGCCTTGCTCAGGGACACCGTTGCCTGGAGAGCAGCCAGAGCACAGTTTGTTCACTGTATGGAAATTTGCACCTTGGATCCTTGAACTGAGCGATACCAACCTCTCGCCGTGTATCCACCCATGACGTAGATCATCCCCTGGCATTCACAGGCAGAGAACTCAGCCAGCGGATCGGGCATCGAGGACACACAGGTCCACCAGTCCTGCTCTGGGCTGTAACACTCCACTGTGCCCAAACACTGGCCTCCTACAGCGTACAGCTTCCCTTGTACTGCCAGCAGCTTGAAGTTGGACCTGATGGAGAGGACGCAGTGAGTAAAAGGTGGCAGTTGATATTTTTGGGAGGGAAATGTGTGTTTTTACCTCTTCTGGTTGAGCGGAGCCACCTGGTTCCACTCGTTCCTACAGGGGTTGTAACAGTGCACCGCAGAGATCTCCTGACTCGTCATCCTGTATCCACCGACTATGAACAGGTAGTTATCGAGGACTGCGGAGCCATAGCCTCTCACATTGATCATATCTGGAGGCAGGTTGTTGGCCAGCGGTCTCCAGCGCTGCTCCACCTCTACATACCTCAGCATGGACCAGGGCTCATCCTGATCCGGCACGTCCGGGGACAGACAGGTGAAGTCTCCGATGGCTACCAGGGTGGCGGTGCCTTTCATGCGCATCTCCCTGACTTGGTCTCTGACGGCAGAGGGGAGGCTGGTGAACTCTGGCCGCCTCAGCATGGGGTGATAGTAGCAGCTCATGTATTTGAGGCAAGCATTACGCAGATCGTGAGTACCGTAAACCTCTGAGAGGCTGTACAGCTCCACGCAGTTGTCCAGCCGGATCTCCGAGGTGAGCAGCTTGAGGATGGAGGTGACCTGTAAGAAGGAGGCGGTCTCAATCAGGTCCTCCAGAGTCTCGTTGACAACCTGGACCTTGGAGGTGTTGATGAACTCCAGGACCAGCTCCAGGCCGGGGACGCTGAGCCCCTGCAGCTGCACGGAGTCCTCCGTGGACTCCCTCATCCCAGAGCTGTACAGTGCACGGAAGTAGTCGCTCTTCTCGATCAGCTTCTTTTTATCCACCTCGTAGATTTTGTCCTCCATGACGATGGCAATGATCTGATCAGATGACATGGTGAAGCTAGCCGCGTTTAAGTGTTTTATCCTTTTTTTCAGGGCTGAGTTTTGTTTTTGTGTGCGCTTGCCCTTCAGTCAGCCTCCTCGGCGAGTCACCGTTTACATTTCACCGGCGAGGGAGCTCTGCGGCCGGTCTATATATGGTAATGTTCAGCCCATAGATCGCCATGGAGCAACTTGTTCGTTAGCCGCAGAAGCTAACCAGCCGGACACCCGGAGATAGCCGCTGCAGCTAGCAGATAAACTAACCAAAAGCACCTCTTCCTCGGATTGGCATTCCTCCACAGTCCGTTAAAAAGTCGCCCCAGTGTCTGCAGACGTTGTTTAGGTCGTGTAGCTGATGTGTGACATTGGCAGTAACGTTTCCCATTGCATTTTATAAACCTTTTGTCGCTGCGCTGCCGAGCTGTCAAATTTTAACTGTTTTGATTCTGCACCACACGTCACGTCCTGGTTTTGTACTTCTTCGTGGGGTTGTTTTTGTAGCGCTGTGGTCTGCCGCTGCCACCTACCGGTGAGTGGAGGAATGGCGCCACATTCGATTTGGGAGGTGGCCCTGAGGTGCAAATCACAGCAGCAAATCAGAAAACACAACACAAAAAGAGAAAACACAAAGGCAAATCAGAAAACACAACACAAAAAGAGAAAACACAACACAAAGAGAGAAAACACAACACAAAAAGAGAAAACACAACACAAAAAGAGAAAACACAACACAAAGAGAGAAAACACAACACAAAAAGAGAAAACACAACACAAAGAGAGAAAACACAAAGGCAAATCAGAAAACACAACACAAAAAGAGAAAACACAACACAAAGAGAGAAAACACAACACAAAAAGAGAAAACACAACACAAAGAGGGAAAACACAACACAAAGAGAGAAAACACAAAGGCAAATCAGAAAACACAACACCAAAAGAAAAACACACAAAAAGAGAAAACACAACACAAAAAAAAAAAACACAACACCAAAAGAGAAAACACAAAGGCAAATCAGAAAACACAACACAAAAAGAGAAAACACAACACAAAAAGAGGAAACACAACGGCAAATCAGAAAACACAACGACATTAACCAAACCGGAAAAGGTAGGTACCCTCGTCGCTGACTGGACAAAAGAACTGGTCCGTCCTTTGAACCGGAAACACAACACCGCCAGACCTATGCGTTCAAGTTGCCAAATCTGAAAATTCAAACCACTAAATAAGGAAAATATTGTATTAATACGTCCATGTTAATGTGGGATACCTAAGAGAGGTAGAAACAGGGGTTCCAATAGTCCATATCTATGTGTTTTCTGATTTGCCGTTGTGTTTTCTCTTTTTGTGTTGTGTTTTCTGATTTGCTGTTGCGATTTGCACCTCAGGGCCACCGTAGTTTGGTTTTATTCTGCCCTAAAAACAACATTCATAACCTGGTAGAAATGTTCATAAAAACTGGAAATAAAATATAGCCAAATTTTAAAAAACAACAGATTCACTGCAGCATTAAATTAAACAATCTATTCTACTATAAATTAATATTAAAAACCCTAAACGTTAACTTCATTCCATTGTGATATGTGCAATATGTGTAATACCTTATACAAATTGTACATATACATAAATATTAACTACATTCACTCCTCTCTTGAACTCTTTCCATTTCCTTTTATAACTATACTTACACAAGGACGATACCATGAGCAGAAAACGACAACAGAGAAATTAAAGTTATAATAAATAAATACAATAAAATACATTTCCAAATTCCACGAAAACATATCCTTCACAATGTTTTATTTTGTACCCAAGATTTAGCTTTTAAATCATACACTGGTTTTACACAAGTGAGAGTGTACCCTGTATGTTAACGCCCATTAAAATGCATTGTTTGTCATGAGTTTACTAGTTTACATGCTAAATGTCAACTCACTAAGGACTGATTTGGTGATTTGCTTATTTTAAAATGTCTAAAACTCTGTGTTAAACCAAATAAATGTATTTAAAAGCGGCTTCACATTGAATTATTATCATAGCAACAATGCTTACATGTAATGTAGAAGCCAATACCTCTCAATTTTTGGACCAGTTTCATCCTTAATGTTCCCTCAGCCTGTGAATGCTTACGGGGAAGTCATAAACAGCAGGTCTCAAATTCCCCCTGTAATGTGGCATGTGATAAAGTGTTTGGATCAGGAAACAGAAAGATAGTGAAGCACCAGGTTTAAAACCAGTTGGATGGTCACTAAACATTTCTGCATTCTTTGCTCGTCACGCTCTAAAAACAAGTGACGTGTGAAGGAAGTGTACTTGTAGAACGTGCAGTGCTCTCGTGTCAGCACAGCTCAGTTTGGTGAGCTGGTGTTTTATTTTGCAGGGCTGCAGGTGTGACAGTGCATGGTGGGTCAGCTCTGTTTCTCACTGATATTCTCACTCTCACAGTGCACAGTGTGTGATTTAACGATCTGATGGGATGCTCTGCAGTTTAGTGTTCACAGCTCTGGTTTTCATTTAATTTGCCACCGTGGTCAAGTGCTTGCTCATGGTGGGAACTGTTGTGTCTCTGTGAATCATTTTATAAGGAGTTCAGTCGAGACCTGCTCTATTTTAAATGTGTCCTGAGATAACTTTTGTTATGAATTGGCGCTATACAAATAAAATTTAATTGAAAGTCAGAAAGCAGTGCAGTATATATTAGTGTCTCCTTGTTCTATTAGGTGTTTTTTTTGTCTTTGATTGGCTTTTAAACATTGTTTTATATCTTAAAATTGTAAATCAATTTGCGTTTGAAAGGTGCAAAGCAAAAAAACTTTGCTTTTTTAAAAAATATGAATTTAAAGTCTCTAGTCTCCTGGTTTGGCGTCGCTCTGTATCAGGGAAATATTGGATTTTGACAAATATAGACCAAATATTCTATTTCTTTCATTTAAAATCTAAAATAAAAACAATAACTTGCTTTAGGAAACATTCAGCCTTGGTGGCAAATGACAGTACAGGCAAATATCATCGTTTTTTTTTTACCGGATCAAATACATTTGCACGGTTTGAGTGTTACTCTCAGGCTCCTACCTCTCTGTCAGAGTTATAATAAGCTCCGCAGCCAGCCGGCCTGTCGTCTATCTCCAGCTGTCAATCAAGATAACGTGCTTTATCACACTCGTGGCGTCACTGACTGAGAGAAGCTTTAGCTGAGAGAAGAAGTGAAACTACAAATAATTCAACACAGCGAGGCAGGTGGCTGTGCCTTCAAAATAAAAGCATAGAGCCTACAGCTGTATATATTGATCTGATGTTGGTCTTCTGTTGAGGAAGTGGTCATCATAAGTTAGTCATTATCTATTTGTCTTGACCAAAGATTGTAACTTGTAATTGTATGAGATCTCTTTTAATTTCAATGCACATGTTCAGCCTTTGCATTAGTTGTTGTCAACTGTTTCAAGTGTGATGTGCTAAGATTTTACTCAGCAGCTTCAGTCAGAGCTGTAATTAAACTTAAAGGAGCTGTCAAAAACAGTATATCGTTTTTATTTGCCATTTTTAGAGTCACTAACCTCATGAAGCAGCTGAACTCTGAGATCACACATTGAATTTTTATCCTAGAAATTTGCAGATGCAGATGGAAATTTGCTTTAAGATGACTCTGGTGCAATACATTACATGCCAAAATTCATGTCTATCGTTGTACATAGTCTCTTACAAACAATGAAAAAAAAAACTTATTTCATATTTGTTCATTATTAATTAATCTGAGGATTATTCTCTTTAATCATTTAATCTATAAAATGTCAGAAAATGGTGAAAGTGTCAACTACAATTTCCCTGACCCCAAGGTTAGTTATTGAAATTAAGCCAGCAGTCGGATGTTCACTATCATATCAAATGTTCCCAATTGGTGAGAAACAATTAATTCATTATCAAAATAATAGATTTGTGTGGATTTATTAGCCTATTCAGCTATTCCTTTAAGAAATTATTATGAGACAGAAACCAGTTAAATAGTACTGAGCAACAAAAAAAAACATTATTTATATATTTATATGTGTTATAATGTTTATACAGCCTTGCCTCATTTTTCATAAACAGTGATTTCACATTGCAAAAATCCTGCAGAATGAAAATAAGAAAAAAAACCTTCATCCTCACTTTATTCTAGGGCTCACAGGACGGTTTTACTTTGAAAGTCCGGGACCGGATGTGTAGTTTCCTCTCCGTCCGCATTGACGGTGCTGTTGACAGTGAGAGACAGGCAGTGGCATCAATGACAGGGACACCATCACACAAACACTCGCCGCTCGGCCTGCTTCATGTTTGTGGCTCCAGGCAGCGGACAGCCGGCTGTTTGTGATCCGGAGCTGAGGATGCGGGAGCAGGTGTGGGCCTCCTGGTTCCCCCGCTGCCTTCTTCTCATCATCACCGCTCACACATCATCAGTGTCCGCCGACAGAGACCTGCGGCCGTGCGATGAGGTGAGTGCGCTTTTTCTTATCATATTTCTTCTTCTTCTTATTATTATTATTATTATCTCCAAATATCCTCACTTCAAAACACATGCGCGTTTTCAAAAAGACCAAAAATAAGCATCTTAATTGTTCTTTTTAAACCATTATTCTCATCCAGGATTTTAATTACCTATTTTAATGCGGTGATCAAGTCAAGAAAATGGCCATGCATGCGGGAATAAACAACCAGACTGGATCCAACAAAAAAAAAAAAAAAAAAAAAAAAAAGAAAAGGCTTCTCTTAATGCACAATACTACTTCAGGCTTCATATTGACTCAGTAGTATCTGGATATATGCGAGAACACACAGTCCTCCTTCACGCTGCTTGATCGGCTTAAAAATGTGGTTCATGTTGACCATAAACACGCTCCATGAGGAGGTGACGCTGCCTGCCGGCCTCCATCCCTCCTCTGAGCAGCCTCCCGGCCGGTCAGCCATGCCCGGGATTGCCCGCCGAGGAGGAGAGAGAACCGGGGTAGTGCTGTCCTCCGAGCAGAGCTGAGCAGATCCCGGATCAGTGTGTCTGTGAATCACCCTGAAAGCAAAACCTTGAGGGGTTTTCATGGAGCCCAGAGGCAAAGTGAGGATGTTACAGTGTGGGAATATTACATAAATAACATATTTTCCCCCCATTTATTTATTTAATTACACATTTATTTGTCTAATTCTGTATTTCTACATTTGTTTATGTCTATATTTCTACATTTATTAATTTATTTATAATCCTAGTTAGTACAATCTAAAGTTACATTTTACAATAAACATCCACATTTTACAGCAATTTCTGAAAAAAGAAAATATTTTAAAAATTGAGGATCTTGGCATTTATTCACTTTTTCTTGAACATTAGATGAGAAAAAACACCCAGTAATAAGTTACAACAGCCTCTTAGCTTAGCTTAGCTTAGCAAGGCCCACCTGGCTCTCTGTCCAACGGTAACCAGATGTTGAAGTAACTGCATCTGGTCAAGAAACTAACTGACC